CCGGCCAGCCAGTGGGGGACCCCCCAGAGCCAGCAGCATAGAAACCAGCCAGGTACCCCCACTACGTCACACGCAGTAGCAGCCACCTCAATTTTAAAATGGATGTGCACCGTGTGTGAACCGACCTTCCATTCCCGGTTTGCTTTTCCCAGGCACCAGAGTCTGGGCTTGTGGCTCTTTGGACATTGTTCTCCCAGGCCAGTGCAAAGACACCAGCAGGCAGACTCCGGCAGCCCCCTGCAGTGCACGACTGTAGATTTAGCTGAACAAGAGCTCCCACTACAAAACTGGGGCCACACAGCTCAAGTGACCCTGGGACACACAAGGGAACATTTATAAGTAGAAGAGAGGTGGTTTCGCCTCTGGTGCCTCTGGTGGCGTGCACAACTCAAGCCAGGGGCTGATTGCTTGGAGAGGATGCACACAGCAGCCATGAGGATCCTGGCAGGGGGAATCCTGCCCTATAATGATGGATGGAAAGAGTTGGAGCTCTACAGATCTGTGCTATGAGGCTGAGATTTTCAGAGACCTCTACAAAGTTTGTGGTTCTTCCAGTTCCGATTCATTCTAGTGCAAACTGTCCCTCGGGCAGTGTTGAAAATGTCAGCCTGACAGCTCGGGATTGTAGAAGCATTCCTATGGCAGATAGAGCTCCAGAGAGATACATGGGGCTGTGTGGGGATGGGTGAAGGGAGAGTCACTGAGGCGCCATGTCGATGTATTTATAGGTGGGTTTGAAAACAGATTCACATCCTACACCTGCTGCACATCAACCGGCAGGAGGCCTCTGACCCCCGCTAAGTTTTCTCAGAGCTGCTTTCACCTCCTTGTTGCGCAGCGTGTAGATGGCCGGGTTCACCATGGGCATGACCAGGTTGCCAAAAATGTTCACAGGGGTCACCAGCACTTTGCTCATCTCTGGGTGAGTGTAGATCAAAGCGCAGGGCCCGAAGAACATGGTCACCACGGCCAGATGGGAGGCGCAAGTGGAGGCCGCTTTGCGCTTCCCTTCACCTGTGTTCATCTTCAAGATGCAGGTGATGATCCTGATGTAGGAGGCGAGGATGAGGACGAAGCAGCTCATAGGCACCACCCCAGTGTTGGTGAAGACCACGGTCTCCAAGATGGACGTGTCCCCACAGGCCAATTTGGCCACGGGGAAGATGTCACAGAAGAAAGAGTCCACCATGTTGGACCCACAGTAGGGCAGCGTGAAGGTCAGACTGGTGAGGACGGTGGCATGGAAGGAGCTGGCGATCCAACTGCCGGTGGCCAGGAGGGCGCACACCCGCCAGTTCATGATCAGCAGGTAGCGCAGCGGGTAGCAGATGGCCACGTACCGGTCAAAGGCCATGACGGTGAAGAGCAGGCACTCGGTGCTACCCAGGAAGTGAACAACGAAGACCTGGGCCATGCACCCGGCCAGTGAGATGGTTCTACTGTTGGCCCAGAGGCTGGCCAGCAATTTGGGGACGATGTTGAAAGAGATGCCCATGTCCAGCACGGAGATGTTGCAGAGGAAGAAATACATGGGGGTGTGCAGACGGGAGTCAGCAAGGACCACTGAGAAGATGAGCAGGTTGCCCAGCAGGGTGCAGAGGCAGAAGGCTAAGAAGGTGAAGAAGAGGATGGTCTGGAGGCCTTCAGTGTTGGGGATCCCTAAGAGGATGAAATGAGTCACCTCGGTGCGATTCACCAGCCCCATTTGGGTCTCCTTCCTGGGACAATGGGAGAGAAATAGAGCCAGTGAGTTAGAGAAACAAGAAGACCTGTCACCCTCTAGCTACAATGCTCCCCTTCCATGCACTGTCCCCAGGAATCTCTTTCCTTGTCCTTGTAATGCTAGTTGGGGGCAGGGCCTCACTGTGTGGGCACTGAGCAAGGTGAGAAAACAGAAGGGTGCCATGGATATCAGAGTCAAAAGAGTCCAGACAAAATGGATGTGGTGGTGTGTCGGGGTTCCCCCACCTCCTGCACCCCCGTACTGGCATGAACAAACTCCACCAGCCAGTAGAACAGAGGGAGTTTATTGCTTCTCCAGGATAGGGCACAGCACAGGTGTAATCCGGTTACAGGGCCAGACCTGGGATGCCTCAGCCCCCCTTGAGATGGGGGAGACTGGGCCCCTAAATCCCAGCCCCTTGCTTAGGCTGCCTCCTCCATGATTCCAGACAGAAACTAAACCTCTCTTCCAGCCCTGCCCCCCACTCAGGGGCTGGTCTCCCCCCGCCATCCTTTGTCTCTCCTTGGGAGGCTGAGCCTGGGTGTCTGGGTCAATACACACCTGAGAGAGTCAGTGAGAATCTCCCATCACAGCGCAGGGGGACCCCGGGTCACAGAGCAGACAGCACCCCCACTACGCCACAGTGGATTGCCCAATTCTATAAGAATCTCATGTGATCTGCTCTACACAGGTTTCTTCTCTTCTCTCTTTGTGCAATTACAATTACTTGAGTCATGTTCTCTCTAAGCCTGTTCACCACACTCTCAAGGAGCCTTCGGTTTGCGGCTAACAGCTGGGGAGCGGTTCTCTCTCACCCTCTCTTCAGAAACTGGAAGACAATGGCACCTTAAAGTGCATCCACATTGCACCCTACATTCAAAATAAGATACACAAATAGCTTATTTTGAAATGTAGCTCTTCTAAACTGTGCCACATTTCAAAATAACCTCCTGTTTTGAGACATCCCTTAAAGAATGCTGAAGTAGCACACCCGTTATTTCGAAATAATAGGTGACTTGTTGAGATGTGAGGTAGCTCTTTTGGATACCTGTGGTATCCCCAAATAGCCATGCAGTGTAGATGCACCAGGGTTTTGGGAGTAAAAATCACTTTTTCAAATTCCTGGTGTTCCATACACTGAAACAACGGTCACAGAAATACCAGCCTACACTGGAAACCTGACCTCTCTCCTTACCTGCATGCCTCTAGCTTCCCTGCAGGACACATCATATGACCTGTTGTCTACAGCCAAGCCCTAAGGTACAACAGCATCTTCTCCAATCCAATCTGTTTGACAATGAAAACACCCACACGGGCTGCATGTGTTTGATGAAGTGATTTTGCCTCAAAAGCTTATTCCCAAATAAATCGGCCGGACTTCAAGGTGCCTCAGGGCTCCTCATTTCTGCAGACACAGAGCAACAGAGCTGCCCCTCTGGGACCTCCCTGCAGAGGGCTGGCCCTGGTGCGCAGCGGAGGGATTGTTTAGGCCAGTGGCCACCCGCCAGTACCTGGTGCGCAGCGGAGGGATTGTTTAGGCCAGTGGCCACCAGCCAGTAGATTGGGATCTAGTTGTAGATCTTGGAGCCTCTGACAGGGGATCCTGACTGATTTGGCCCAGAGACTATCAAGTGCCGGCGCTTCAGCTGCCCCTCCCCCCACTGCTGCGCATCTCCTGCCCTTTGCCTTGGAGCTGCCTCCTCCCACAACCGGGAGCCTCCTGCTCGCTGTGCAGGGCAGGGGAGGGAGAGGAGGGCGCTGATGTCACGGTGCCCTGTCTCCCACCCTATATCCGATCTCCACAGCGCAGGGCGGGGGGCACAACAGGACTTGGAAGGGAGTTTGCTGACTGATTTTGGGAGTGGTGCAGGGCCAGGGCAGGGGTGAGCCCTAGGAGCCACCTGAGGTAAGCAGTGCCCAGCTGCAGCCTACATCCTGAAATCCTACCACAGTCATGAACACCCTCCTGCACTCCAAGCATCTGCCCTAGTGCCGGGCATCCCTGCATCCAAACACCCTCCTCGAGCCTGCACCTAGAACCCTCTAGTACCCCAACTGCCTGCCCCAAACTCAGCTCAGAGCCCCCCTCATACTCCAAATCCCTTAATCCAAGACTAGAGCCTGCACCCCAACCCTCTGCCCCAGCCTGGTGCAAGTGAGGGAGGATGGGGAAGGGATGGAGTGAGCAGGGATGTGGCCTCAGAGATGCAAAGCGATGAATGTGGGAAAGACGGGAGTCGTGGGGCTATTTTGGGGTTGGAGGGAGAAGGAAAAGGGGGCAGCCCAGCCAGGGGGGCTGAATCCAGGGCTGCTGAGAGAGACGCTAAGTTAATGTGGTTCCCGTCATACACAGGTTCTCAGTTTGGTTCAGTATGTCTCAGCCCTCTCCCCCCACCCTCACTATAGACATTGTTCCAGGCACCACCACCCCCGCTCCAGCTTCTCATCTGCTTGGCTGCGGTCGGCAGGCTGGGCTGTGCAGATGTCACCCCGGATGGGAATTTTACAGTGAGATTTGAGGGGCGATGGTGAAGTGTCTGGTGGCGTTTCGCAGGGAGATTCCCCAGGCGGGAGCCAGGGCTGCAGGGCAGAGGCTGGTGGCAGGGTTATGGCCGACGAGGAGAGAGAGATCAGTGACACAGAGAAGCAGCCCAGAGGCAGGCGCTGCCCAGACAAGGGCAGGGGGCTGGGTGGATGGTTCTCTACAGGACACCCCTGGCTGACAAGCCCTGGGAGTGCGGCAGGGCCAGGCCACAGACAGGTGGAGACTGAGGGCAGCGCGAGGGGATCGGTACCAAAGCAGGTGCCTATCACTGGCTGCATGGGCAGAGGCGGTTCCAGCTGACTGGGATTCTTCCCTTCTGCCCTGACCGGGACTCCTGTGGCCCCATCCCGTGTCCTTCCCATCCCTGCCCAGCGTCCCTCTGCCACAGCAGCTGGGACCCACCCAGGACCCACCCTAATCCACTGCCAACCTGGCCAGGGCTGCCCCTGTGTCTCACCCCGTGCTGCTTCCGAGCCCAAAGCTTCCTACAGTCTCCTGGCTCTGCCTGGGCCTTAAATCCCCTCTGGGGCCCTCGGGACCAGCCTTGAACCCCACTGGGCTCCTGGTTGAGCCCTCGGCAGAGTCGCTAAGTAACAGAGTTTTGGCCTCGCTTTGGAGATGCCCAGACACCCCCGGGGCCAGGCACTCAGACCGGTAACTACTGTCCGGGCATGGAGCCAGCAGGGCCCGATCCCCAGCTCCACCCGGCTTGGATTCTGCTGTCAGCCCCCTGGCCTGACTCCTGGGGACTCAGCTGGGTTCACTGGGGCTGTTTCTGCCCACCCTGCACATGGGTGTGAGTCAGGAGAAACACCATTGGGACTGAAGGAGCCGTGTAATTTTCCAGCAGAGGACGAAGCCATGAGATGCCTGTTCTACACCCTGCACTGTTGGGGGGGTTGGGAGATTGATGCTCGTCTGGGCTCTGCCCTCCTGTGGCACAAGCCAGAGGGTGAAATAGCAGGGAGCTGGGCCAGAGGTTGGGCTGGAGGCCTGAGTCCAGCCGAGCTTTCCCCTGGGTGTGTCCGCCTGTTCCCCGGCCCCTCTCTGTGTGCACAGGGATGTGTTTGTGCAGCGGGGTGGGGACAGGTGGGGGTGACATCCCCCACTGTGCAGATGGAGAAACCATCCATCCCGTACAATATGGCACAGCCCTTGTGGCAGGACAGCAGAGATGCTGAATAGTGTAAAGAACTGAGCCATTTGGGGCAGGACAGCCGCCCCTCCCCCAACCTCCCCCAGCAGACCCTGACACTCTTGCTCTGAGCAGACACAGAGCGAGCCCGACCGGCCTTGCAGAGCTTGCTGTGTAAGTGACCCATTGGGGGAAGGGTTCTCCACCTCCACCCCATCTTCACTGGGAGAGACGTTGCTCCGCATCTTCCCAGGCCATGGGCGGGTTCTGTTCCCCTCCCCTTTGCACCGCCAGGATCCAGGAGCAAGGGCCCTTAGCGCGTTATGGCTGATTGGACTCAAGGAAACCTGCTCCCTCCCTAGCCAGGGCAGTGGGGTGGGCACAGGCCTCGCCAGACACCTGCACTGTGCACCTGAGCCCTGGGGTTGGCTCCATGGGGGGACGCCCTGAAATGGACACAAAGCCACAGACACCGCACAGAGGGAGGGGAGCGGGACAGGCCCCTACATTTGGGGGTTCCAGCAGTGAGCTCATCCAGCTGTTTGCTGGTGTCCCAGCTCTGCAGGTCTAATAAGGCCCCCAGAGATTTCCTTAATTGGTTTCTTTCTCTGCCCTTCCCTGGTGGGCACCTCGCTTGGGAGCTGGGATGCGGGGGCAGATGTAGTGATTAATCTCTGTCGATGTGTTATCCCCAGCACTCCACGGCATTCAAGGGGCCTTGGGATTAATTAAAACTTTGCCATTGCTAACGAGTCCCCGGGCTGGAACTCACTGCGCTGGGTACCAGGCCCAGACGTGACTCTCGGCTGGCAGCAGCTGAGTTCTGTGGGTCGTTGGTATGAGTGTCAGAGCTGGACTGAACTGGATGATTTGCTTCATTAATGATTTAGAGCAGGGTTCTTAACCTGGGGTGCAGCGCCTCCTGGGGGTGTGACACTGTAGCGGTGCGTCGGGTTTCCCCGCAATTCTGCAGCCCCGTAGCAACCAGAACAGACTCCACCAGCCAGTAGAGTAGAGGAGGGTTTATTGCTTCTCCAGGATACAGCACAGCACAGACCTAATGTGGCTACAGGAGTCAGGGTCAGGATGCCTCAGACCCTTTGCGTCAGGGAATCTATCTCCCCTCTCCCCCCTTAAATCCTCAGCCCGCAGCTCAGGCTGTTCCCCTTGCCTACGTCTAGACTGGCCACAAATTCCGGAAAAGGGATGCAAATCAGGTAAGTCAGCATAGGGAAATCCGCAGGAGATTTAAATATCCCCCGCGGATTTAAATAAACATGTCCGCCGCTTTTTTTCCTGCTT